ATGCTGACAATATCTGCTCCCATCTGCCAAACGGCGAGAATAGTCGGTCCACACCAACGCTCAAACTCCCAAGACTCAACTTGATCGACTGTCCTAGATTCACCGACCAATGAGTCTAAACTACTACTTACTGATCAAGTATTCAGCAATACAACCTACAGAAGTCCACACGTATGAATCTACTATGATTCAGTCTTTGTACGTGTTCTTTTGCATTTCTTTGAGGATAGTTGACCTTAAACGCTCCACAGACGGGGGCGGCATCGTGAGGGGAGCCCCTTGGTAGAACGTTCAAAACGGCACTTAATTCGCCCACATTTGGCCCACGATCAACCACGAAAGGAGCAACGAGATAGGAATTAAATAATAGGCATGATTCCCCGCCGTTTGTTAGTAGACATTCGTGTCGAACATTCTTGTACCGGGATCAGCTTCCAGGGGTTTTTCACTTGAAAATACAACCAACCTCCAGGAAGTATTTGAGGGCTCGTATGATGGGAAGGAACATTTCTTAGAGAACGATGCTCTGGGGATGGGATAAGGACAGGTACGACATCTATCTGATCTTGGGAATTCAATTGCAGCTAATCGACTGTACTATAGGTATGAGTCCATGAGTCATACCTTTCGCCTCCCATCGTTGGCCCTTCGTTCGTTCGTGAGTTTCATTGTCACGACTCACTTCGACAATGAGCCATAACGTTACCCGGGAATGACCCTACACCGGATCGCCGCAGCCAACTTCCCTGGGCACCTTTTCCCTCCCTCCCTGATTTACGTAGTGGCCTTCTCAAACCTGACACTGTTCGCGGGATATAACTTGACGTGGATCAATATCAAGCATTTGGAATGCCTAGGAATGTACGTTGTTTCGACACTCTCCCTCAATTTTAAGACTAAGATGTTCTTCGCAGAGACTTCACAAAGACATCTCGACGGCCAACCTTCCTGTCTTAACGGAACGCGAAATTTTGCGCAACTTGCCTATTGTCGTAGATGCGGACCGACCCGAGACTGCTCCAGGTGCGCGGCGGTTTGTCAAGTGAGGGTCGCAAGATTTGGTCTGGCCTCTACAGGCCTCCACGTCATATCGAGCAAGGACATCAGGGCATGCTGCTTATCGGTGCTTGGAAGACGCCACTCCGGAGGACTCGGTGTATTTGTGCAGCGACTTGAATGTGGGATTACTTATTAAAAGTTTGCAGGGAGGGTAACAAGTGGCGCCGTGTACCAAACCGATCGTATGATCAGGTGGGCAGTCTCTTCGGACCGAAGCCCAGGCGCCCAAGTCTGACTCTCTGTTGCGTGCATGCTTAGCGTCTTCGACATTGGTCACGGAGTTGCTCCCCGCTCCAAATCATCGTTTGTGTGGATGGTGTTGCCGAAATCGATTTTGAACATACGGGTGCGGATGGATACATCGTCATGAGTTTTGTTTTTCGCCAGGCCCCCCCGAGGCGATTAGGTCGATTCAACTTGAGTGTTGCGTTCACAAAGGCCGGAGGGTTTCTCGTCCTTTGAGACCCTGGATTGATGTGATCACACCATGTACACATTCTATTCTGAAGCAACTTCTGCGAAGAAGGTCTTTTCCTTCAAGAAGGTTTGCGAAAATCGCGTTATGTGAAAATCATGCTAGGCTCATGAGAAAGTGGGCTGGATAGGTACCAATGTCGTTTACCATTGCGGTCTATCTTTACTCAGCTTTCTCTCGTAGGCACCTTTACGGGTTATATTGCTGTCTCCAGCCCTAGCTGCCTGGCAACCTCAATCTGCCCCCAGACGATCATACATCGCCTGCCGTGTTCACCATCCTTTCGAAATTGAACTGTGGCAACCCCGCCTCGATGTCGTTCGGTCCTGCCTCCGGAAATGGTTACGGCATAGGGAATGTGATCAGAGGATGGAATATCCATATAAGATGGCGTTTCATCCTAGGTCCGTGTTCCCAATGTCTGCGAGTAGGTGTGCATCTATGAGACACTTGCAGACGTACCTCGTTTCTTTGATGGATACCTGTATGATGTCCGGCGGATAGCACTCATCCAGTTTCACCGATCGGCAAATCAGCATCTAGCACCGTTCGTTCCATCTGGCCAATAATCTGAGGGACACAAAGATGGGAAGGCCTATCAATGGGCAGAGACTGTTCTGACGAGGTTGACGTGGCCCTGTGTAAATTTTTTATTCCGTTCCCCGCTATCGACCTCGATCAATGCCCCGCATCGATTTTAGCAGGGTGGTCATTCTTTGGCAGTGGGAACATTGAGCAACTTCTTCGAAAGAAATCGTCGCCTCCGTTCTTGACATCGGATGCTGCAATTTCTACTTCTG